AGTTTCTCCACTAATAAATAAAAATAACGCGTTCTCAAAATAAAAATAAAAATTAGTGCTGCTTTTTTCATTCGGTCAAAGTAACGATATAGTAAGTAATGATTTGATCCTATTATGCTTAGTTCTGAATTGATCCCTTTTTATTCGGCCAAATCAAAATTAATGTCCCATGAGCAATTATCAAGGAAAAACAGAGCAAGAGAAACCAATCAAATAAGTATTAAAAAACCCCATGTTAATTCTATTTAAATAGAACTAGGTGTTAGACCGGTTAGATGGACGGGGAAGGCATACACATTTAGACATTTTTATATAAATTTTGTATTTTTATAAAATATGTAATGACTTCAGTTTTAAACATGATTACCTCTGGATGTACAGAATTTATTTTTTTTTAAATGACATTTTAAATTCATTGGTGATAAGGTTTATGTAAATCTCTAAAATTTATTAGGATTTGGTACTCTCTCCAATCAATCTCTGTGTTAGGATTTGGTTCATGAAAATAAGGGTTCGGTTTTTATTATTTTGTTTTTTTTAAAAAAATTATTTTAGTTGTTTTTTTTTGTTTTATTATTTTGTTTTGTGCATTTTTAAGTCTAAGAAATTAAGAAAATGCCACATAGGATTAAATCTTATGTGGCATATGCTCCATGCCTTTAGTTTTCTCTCTCTGATTTTTACCTTAGTATAGTACTAGTGATGTCTGGTCGCGCAATGCGCGACCCTGGCCCAGTATATTTGTAGATCTTAGAAATGTTTGTATTTGGAAAAAAAAAATTTACATTTGGCCCGATATATTTTAAAAATGTTTGAAGAATTTAAAAAAATTGTATAAGTGTGATCATAGAAATGTTTGTATTTGGCAAAAAAAGAAAGTGTATTTGGCCCGGTACGTTTTAGAAATGTTTGAATATTTTAAAAATATTTTATAAGTGTTACTTATTAAATATAAATAAACTTGATCAAGTATATCTCTTGAAATAAATGTTAGACAAAATATAAAAGTATCCTAATAAGTTTAAATATTAGTAAGATTATTTATTAATGTTCTCCATTTGTCGTGCCAAATCAATACTTGGTTTTGGATATTTATAATAGCTTTGTAGTAAGCTTCCTCCGAATGGTATACGTTTAATTGTTGGAACTGTTTCTTCCAAATGCTTATAGCTAGTAAAATATCAAAAATATGATTTTGAAACTGATTAATTGTTGAAACTGGTTGATCACAAATATGAGAATGAAAATTAATGTAAATTTGCATAGGTTTCAAGTTATAGTAAAAAAGAACTCACCTCACCAAATAAAAAAAATAAGTAAAAGAGTCCATTAAAAATTGAGAATTTTTTTTTCCTGTAGGTAAAAATGATGTATAAAAACACAAATAAACGTAAAAACATCATTCCTTCTCTCTCCACCTCAAATTCATAAAAGGCTTCCCCATAAATTAGTTAGAAGAAGCGACGTGAACTATTTATATGATGAGTAATTTAAAAAAGTCAAAAAACTAAATCCAAAAAAGTATATTCTTGAAAGTCCGAACACAAAAAAACGCGCTTCATTTGTAAAAATGATAATAATAATAATAATAATAATAATAATAATAATAATAATAATAATAATTGATCAACTGGGAGTATGAAACAAAATTAAAAGCAATTAAACAAAGAAAAAACACAATTCATAACTGACCATATACGAAAAAAAACTGAGACTCCATAATTAAAAAACGGAAAACCACTCTAAATGAATAAAATATAAAAAAATAAATTAAAAAAACCACACTTTGTGACTAAAACCCAATTGATCAATTCAATTCAAACAGAACTAAAATCATACAAAAATTCTAAGCTGACTAACCATATAAGAAGTCACATCATATTAGCTAGCAATGGCTACGATAGCTATACCGGGTGGACGCGTAAAAATAATATAAATAACATTATTCTCGAACGGAAAAAATAAAAAATAATAAAAGCCGTACAAATGATCTGTGGATATAAAATCATTTAAATTTTAATATCTGTAACGGCACCACCACAATGGCCGAAAGCAACATCAATGAGAATTTTTTTTTCCTTTGTGTTTATAAAGAGGTAAAGAGAATATTTTTTGAAGTCGAAATTTTATCTGATTAGGATGTCGTTGATCATCACTAATGAAAAGATTGAACATGCTAATAGGAAAGAAGTATATTTCACCACGTATTCTCAAGTAGGGGTATGTTGCAATAATTGTTTTAATTGAGTTGTAATAATTGTTTTTTCTGTGATACTTAAATTCTGGGAAAAAAATATTTTAAAAAGTTAGTGCCGATTTTTTTTTAAAAAACTAATTAGTGTGACAGAAAAGTAGTGTAACAAAATGATATAGGTGATCTTTATTCTTTAGGCTTCTTCGAGTGCATGCAAGGTATCAAAGTAATCACGGGAATAATCTGCAACATACCCCTACTTGATAATTGATTTTAGTCAAACATATGATGTAGTCGAAATTTGTTTTTTTTTTTTTTTGAGAAGGAAATTGATTAGGGAGTCGATTGTCGTGGAGATGGAGATGAGGATTTATGTTTTTTACGAAGTCGTGTTTTTTTTTTTTTTGGCGAAAATAGGAGGTAATGGTGGATTTGGACTGCATTTGCCTTTTAAGTCTAGGAAACTGATGTGTAAATAAAAATTTATTTTAAAAATATGATGTGAAAATGCCACATGGCAAATGGTGGTGCTTTATCTTAAGTGTGGTTTTTGTTTCTAATATAGTAAGATGTGTTTCAATTGAATTCTTCCAATTATTGTTTATATTTTCAGTTCACGGCAGGGATGTTGATAAAAAAATATTTGGCATTAGTTCTGATTGAATCTTCCTCTATAATTTTAAGAAAGGTGGCTCAAGGTCTACGGAGAGAGACTCTTAATGCAGGATTTGAATTCAAGGCCTTTAAAATTAGGGAAAATTTGGATTAGAGGCAGCAGAGAGTAAATAATTAATAAAGAAGGTGATACTATTGAATAATTTGTATTAGGGGTACAATAATTCAACAACAAAAACATAATTTTAACTCTTGAAATAAAATTTTTTGTTTATTCATTTGATTTTTCAACACATAAATTATAAATATCTTTTCATGACGATAATATTTTAGTATCAATTTGGAAAAAAATTAATATGTGAAATGATAAAAATATAATTATGTTGACTTCAAAAATTAAAAATTACAACCTTTATTTTCATAGTAAATTTTTGTGTCGAATTATTTTTTTTTTCCAAAAGCCTTGTACTTACACCAGCCGTACAACACATTTTACTAGAGTAATTAAATTACTCCCATCTTTTGTATAAATGAAAATTTTGAATTTAAAAATTTTAAGATATTTTGAATCTTGATTTTTTTTGGTCAGCGACTACTTTAGTATATTTATATTAATCAAGATTTCCGGAAAAAAATTAAATGAACTTTCAAATTCTTAAATTGATGTGAATAGGTTTTTTTTTAAAAAAAATAGTTTCTTAAAGTCATGTTTATACGGTTCAATGGTTATGCCCCTAATATAAATTATTGAAAAGTATTCCTCTCTTTATTAATTATTTAGTCTCCACTACCCCTTACCCAAATTTTTCCTTAAAATTAAAAGCAAAAAGATTATATTAAGTTCTGAATCGTATGAAAATTTATTGTTTTATGTTTGGATGCAAATATGTTGATTTAATTTTTATACTAAAACTTTCGTAATTAATCTTTTCAAAATAATCAATTTAGTTAATTTTTCTGTCACAAAGTTTGTTCATCTTAAGTAATTATATAATTATTTGATAAATAGCAATAAATTTTGAGCCTCGAGCCTAACTTCAATGGCTTTATGGTTAACTGACCCTGATTTTAGGGTATCATTTTTATTTATGTTTCATTAGTGAAGTGATGTCAATTACTTTGTACATAAATAGTGTAACTTAAATATTAGTATTTGATTTTTTTTCCAACAAGATTTCCCTCTTAAAACATAATTATTACTGCCTTTTTTTAAGAGTTAATTTATTTAGTTAAATAATCTTACCTCAACAAGGTGAAATTTATTTTTCGCCAAAACAGTAACAGTTACTGCATGTTTTTGAGCGAGAGATTAATTATGACAACTTATTATTCTTTTGGTATTTGGTTTTAGCTTTCAATTTTTTAATGCTTTTTCCCCCAATGCCATATTGGTAAATTTTAAAATGAATTTTCCAACAAAGTTGATAACCTCGCTTCTATTTGGATTGTTTTTAATGTGTTTTTAAATATTTTTTAAATTAAAAATGTAAAATGATATATTAAAAATGTAAAAAAATATGTGAAACAAAGGTTCTTATGAGACACTTGGGGTACTTGTTTCCATCCGTTAGCATAGTTTTGTTTCCAACATTTCTGCTTTTATATAATACCTCTCTCATGGTAGAAAAAGAAAGTACTCCGATTAATTTATAAAAAAAACACTAATTAATAAAGCAATTGGTGTAATTTGTACCTTAACATAACAGCAGTAATTAGTTAAACAACTGTGTTCCATATCTACTGCTAAACAAGAAAATGCATCATAAATTTTTAATATTAGGAGACTAAGCAAGCTACAAAACCTATGTGAAGAATAGAAATTGCATGACAGTGGAGTACTCCCTTCATTTCAAAATGTAAGTCTTTTTAGACTTGACACGTAAACTAATGAGATAATCATCCAACAATTAATTTGTGTATTAAATATCTCTTTTACCCCTCATTAATTACATTAGAATTATAAACAAGACTAAATAAAAATAGATTAACATCATTTATTGAGGATAAAATTGGAAAAATAATCATTAATTTGCTTAAAATTTGTAAAACGACCTACATTTTGAAAAATCTCTCCAAACCTAAAACGACCTACAAATAGAAATAGAGGGAGTATTAAATTTCATTTCAACGGGAAAATTTGGTATTTAGCCCCCCCAACATCTGGGTAATTAAAATAATCTCATCCCAAATTTCTTGACTAAAAATATGCTTTGCGTATGTTTTTATTTTACTTTCAAATATTGAGATCCGTAATTTAACCGGCTAGTAACGACCGACTCTTCGAAGCGCAGGCCAGGGGTAATCCAAAGTCCAAACCGGGTTTCGACCGGATTCTCGCGAGGGACTCAGTTAGTTTCCAGTTTACACTCTTTACAGTTTACAGTTGCGTCCCTCTTATTCTTTCAGAACTTCGACGTCGGGCGTCGCCGCCGCCAACGCTATATCGGAGCTCACCGCCGGTCTACATCTTCCTAATTTGAGACCCTCTTGCTTACAGAATCATTCCCAGACGCCGATATACTTCTTTGCATTTTTCAATCTCCACCGAATCCAGCTTCTGTAATAAGGTATTTACTGTTTATTTACGACTTGTCGCTTGATTTTTGGTGCTTATCAATGGAATTTTGAATCTCCAGTAATCTCTATCCGATTGATAGTTAGTTGTTGTCGAGCAATGTGATTATGAATCGGCCTTCTCTGTTTTACTGTTTAATGAGAATTGAGGATACTCAGCAGACTTGCTTTATGAAATTCGGAATATCTTAAGATCATAATTTGTCTGAGGCGACACCTAATAGGTTGTGGACCACCTGATTAGTTTCCATCATCACTATGACTTATTGAGGATTCACCCTCTGATCATTTTCGCCTTGAGAAAATAAAGGAAGGGTCTCTTTATTTGCTTTGATAATATTTAAAAGTTACATTCTTTTGTAAATTTAGCTTCTCTGTTCTTCTGTTTGTTTTGTTTTTTGAAGTTTTCTGGAAGGCTTTTTTCGTATTTGCAAGTGTGGCAATACTTGATTTGATATAGTATAGATGACAATTGAGCTTTAGAGGCGTGGTTTAGAATTGTCCTAACCCTGTAACATGGGTATCCTGCGGGCGTGTATTTCGTTTGTTAATTGTTTGCTGGTATCATTAGATTGCTTCATGAGATCATTTTGATTAGGGCATCTTAAGAGCATTTTGCAGACCCCCAAAACTACATCAATGTAGTTATTCTATTTTATGATCATTTTCTGTTTGCTAAATCCTAGTGTCGTGAGATTATTTCTTCATCAACAAAAATGTGATTAAATTATAGAGGCTCTGTGTGAGGATTTCAATCAGCAAATTGTTCTAAAGTTTTCATACATGGTTGAGACATTTAAGAAGGCCATTCTTGTTGGTTCTAGAATGTTTGGTTTCTTTAATTTGGCTCCTTGGTTTAGGGGAACCTCAGTAGCAAAGTCTATACCTTTGGTCCTGTGCCTATAAAGCTGAATCTGGTCTTGCTGGGATAGCATTCTACTACTATCAATTTGATGCCTCAGCACTAGTTGTTCACACATATTTTCTGTTTTATTATTGTTTGCCCTTGTAAAGTTCCTCTGGAGACAATGATTGAAATCAAAACCGAGCAATGCTATCAATTTTTGATGAATATCACTTTGTTTTGGGTTGAGTTTTTACTCATGCAAGCATGGATACCATGAATGCAAATACTTTGAAATTCCTCTTCTTCTTCTTTTTTTTTTAATTTTTTTTATTTATGTTTGAACTTGTGATGTTATGCAGTGCTTAAGTTATGAAACGGATGATGTTTAGTAACTGTTATGTGATCTGGATGTCATTTTGCTGACATTTGAATGTGATCAGAAATTATTATTATGATAAGCGTTTATTTTTTGTTCCACATTCTTGTTCGTGATTTTTGTATTTACGTATTTTTGTAGGTGATTTTTTATCTGCAATTATTTTCTCTTGCGAGCAATCAGTTTTATGTATTAGTTCCACACTTGTTTTCTTTATTTTGGCTTCTTACAAATGTAAATATGATTTCTTGAACTGGTTAAGCTATTGTGAGCGTATTTGTAGCAAAAGATTTCTCTGATACCGTTGACGTTCACCTCCAATTTCTTGGATTTTGAGTAATTCAAAATGTAGATATGGAAAATTCTGCACTATTCTAAAATGATGAAAGTGATATAAGGGTTGGAAATGTGAATTGCTGGTTGCCTTATATGTTCTTTATTTTTAAAATGTACTTTCCTCGAATGGATGAACATTATTTGTTGGTCATGGACTGTACTGAGTCAAGGATAGTATATCACTACAGCTGGAAATGTTAGTTTGATAATATATGGGGGAGGTACCCTTAAATGAATCTGAAGCTATTTGTTGAAAAAACTTTGATAGGGTAGGATACTACGTTTGAGAAGTATGCTTTTGTGTTGAAGTAGAAAAGTAAGAACTCTTTTCCAAAGAAAAGTTTACTGAGAACCTAAGGGCTAATAGAGATTGAAATGTGTCCTTATCGTCTGTTGCAAAGTTTGTCTCACTGATATAAAGAGGTTCATGATAAAAACTTACTGCAGTTGGTTCCTACATAAATTGTTTTAGCAAACCATTTCCTCATCTTCTCTGCTTTACATTTTGCCTTTTTATCAAATGCTTAGAAGTGTTGAGTTAATTGGTTGGTTCAAAGATGCGATAGGTGAAAGGTGTTTTTGGCAGACACAGGGTATTTTCCCATTTGCGTTTAATGCGCATAAGTTAGAGCTAGTTATGCATGGCCAATTTTTTCTGAAGGGTAAATGAGAATATATTTTGGATTCTGAAGATGCGATGAAAGTATAAGATTAGTGGTATCACTTCAGGAAGAATCTGCAGCCACGTTTTGCAACTTATCTAGATTTATTGGTGGATTGTTGATCTGAAATAAGATAGGCTAGGTGATTCATCAGTCATCTTCTACTTGTCAAACAACAAACGGCTTTTAATTTTACTGTCACTTTTGCTGCAAGGAGAATATATTCAAGTATTCATTGAGTCAGTTGCACATGTACTAAAAGTAGAATACCTTCCCTCATGGACAGTAAGTAGGATACCTTATGTATCTTATGTTTCCCTACAATGTCATGGGCATAAGAAGGGTGCACTAGATTTTGTTATCCTCTTAATTTTGCCCATGTCAATGTGGGTTATGGGTATGCTGTAATTGTTTGTATTATCTTTTTTGGCTGTCATACAGAAATGGTTATCCCTCCGGTTAGGCCTGAAAGAGTAACCAAATTTCTGAAACCATATGTGTTAAAGATGCAATTCACAAACAAGTTCGTGTCAGCCCAAGTAATCCACACGCCAACTGCAACAGTAGCATCCTCTGCAAGTTCCCAGGAGAAGGTACTGCGGTTAAGCATGGAAAAAGCAAAAGAAAGCACCGGGGATGTGGCTGCGGCTGCCAAGATTGGGAAGATATTGGGCGAGCGACTACTCCTGAACAATATCCCTGCTGTATCAGTCTTCCTCAAGAGAGAACAGAGATATCATGGCAAGGTTAGAGCAGTTATAGATTCAGTTAGAGAAGCCGGCGTCAAGTTGATTTGAACTTAGAATAATCGAATCCAACGTCACTTAGAAAAATCCGGTGTTTACAGGTCAATCTGGATTTGTAAACTTGTGTACAAGATGAATAAATTTTCAACATATCTTGTTTGCATTTTGTCTGAAGTATGACATTGATCTATGCACTTTTGGGCTTTTGGATAACTTTTGACATAAAAGTAACAAATTGGTCGTTTTCGTTACCCGTGGCTCACGAGATGGTAGTTCACTAGTTCAGCTGTGATTCTTTGAATTAGGAATTAGTATCCAAATAGATAAGGAAGGTCCAGATTTTGCTATTTTATCTATTATATTCTTAATATTGTGGCTTAACCTATCAGGAAGGTTGAAGCTCTTATAAAGGCATGAAATCATGCAGCATGGACTTTTAACAACTTGGTAGGGCAATCACAGTGACCCACAGATATGTCTTGTATGATTTGGATTTTGGAAGGTGGGATGGGTTGGTAACTGTCCCTTTTTGGCAAAGGGGGCTTTAGGAGTGACACAATTTACCATCCAGAAACACAAGTCTGACCAAGAATCAACCCTAACAAGTAACAACCATGGTTTGGGTGCAAATAAAGACTTCAGTTACTCTGATATATTCTGAAATGCAATCTATAGGGAGATATTTTAATTTTTAACTGCAGTCAAGATTGATAGGTTTTGTTCAGGCATAACCTAACTAATCCATTCGCCCTAACGATATCCGTCAATCTTCCGGCTCTAAGCCGACTTCTACAGTATATTACAGCTCCGTCCTATTTTAATAGTTTACTTGATTGTATTATTTTATTTCAACAAGTTTATGAAATATTAAAGTGGGACAGAATGAGTATTACCGAATCAATGAAATGAAACTTGATATTTAAATCATTAAAAGTACATCAGCAAATTAACGTCGTCTGCAGTTGTTTGGCCTTGGAACCTGAGAAGAAAACTTCCATCTGGAGCAGAACTCTCAATAAATTTTTGTTTTAATCGAAAATTACTCTCCATCTCCACATATTATTCAGAAAGCAAAACGCAAGCACACCATTTCTTTAAAAAATGTAAATTGCTGGCAGTATTTGCACAATGGCAAGCATGATTAGGTCTGATCGCAATCTAGATTAGATCTCATCTTCATCTTGATAATTTCTGTTCCCAAAGCCTCAACTTCAACGTTTGGTCCCATACCCCAATCATCAAGTGAAGCTACAGTTACATAGATGTGATTAATGTTCTTCTTATTTCCTATTCATTTAAACATCAAAAACATTATGAATTTATTCCGCGAAATGATTAAATGACTAATGTCACACTCGGAAAAATAGGAAACGACCAATTGTACTCGTTTTCCTTACTATGCATATCACATCCATCACTGAATTGTTTAAGAGTACTTCTCAATGCTTTTTCAATTGTTTTTTTGGTATCATCATTTGTTGTTTTGGGATATAGTGCTCAATAATTTATCTTTTATTAAAGTAGTTCAATATAATATGATAAATGATGATGCTTGATTAGGTATCATATTATGAATAATTCAGCTTGACTAAGTACAAGTAATGAGCTTCCTCAGATAGCGACCAACAAAACCATTTTTAATGCTATTAGCTAGTTGAAGTTCTGTCAGTAGAAGAGATGTTCAACTTAGGCTTTTACTCTCAATATTTATTATCAAGTGCTCCAAAGCTGACTCCTACCATCAATTTTCTAACTTGGCAAATCTTGTCTGTGTTGCAAAATGGGGAAGAACAGACCAGATTCATTCCCATGCTGGAATCAAGTGAACCATATATTGCACTGTAATAAACTTACATCATTTTACAATTCTTTATAGTTTGTATAGGGATAGCGTAGTCACGACGTAATTCTAAATGAGTACGTATCACATTTAAAATAATCTCTAAACTTTTTTCAAGTGAAAAATTGCTACCAAGTAATAACAAATAATTAGTAATTAATTTTAGTATACAATAAGTGCGACAAAAAAAACCTCGATTAATGGATGGATCCTTCTCATATTTGCAATTTTGCGTAAGCCACTCCTGATTTAAAGCATGAAAGTAGGTTCCTGGTGAGAATTGATTGGTGGGCTTGGGATGTCTGTTCCCCTCTTCAAAAGGGCAATAATTGGAGAAGGAATTCTTCTATGGCGGGTCATGTTACAGGAATCGGCGGCTAGGTCATGCATTTCTTGGGTAGAGAGAATCATCAGAAATCAGGATTAAATTCCAAATTCAAGAATTTTTTTTTTTAATTATTGTATAAAGTTAGATTGTCATTTTCATGACAAACATGTAAAGTTGCTGTTGGTGTTTGTTGCCTTGCAAAGAGACTAATAGAATTGGAGCTTGTATAAACAAATCATCGACCTTACCTTCTCACTTATTAGGTTTTTCTCCTATTAGTTGCCCATTGCCATCATTGAATAGATGCAATAGCCCGGAGATCGATCTTTGGCAAACCCCAAGGATATGTACTTTCGAATATTGTGTATACGAAAATTGATTCTCCCTCCGATTTTTAATATAAGACATTTTGATATAAGTTTCACTTATTATATATTTTTAATACAAAAAATTTAAAATATATTTTCACGTTCATTGTGTTCTCTTGATTGTTAGTAAATATTTTTAATTTTTTTTGTCAATTAAAAATGCGCACTAGGTAAAATTTATGACAAATCAAAATGTCTTATATTAAGGACAAGGAGTATTTCATAATCTACTCAAATGTGACATGTGACGATATCATTCATCCAACTTTTGTTAAGTCCTACTTAATCATCTGAATGGACGATTCATCGAAAGTATATTCCACAAATTCTCAAACATGACATGTGGTAATATCATCCATGATCCATCTGACTTTCGTCAAATTAACTTAATGTTCTGAATGGAATGATCCATTTACGAACATTAATTGAAAGTCGTGATTTTTTATTTCTATACTTTGTTCAAGTAATTATCGTGATTACGTAATCATAAGAACAATAATCTTTTATTTCATGCTTATTGTGACTAAACAAATGATTGGAGTCTGGACAATTTCATTGTAGATCTCCACACAGATTCTATCATTTGAACGATGAAGCTTTTCAAAAAACTTATCATTCTTAAGAAAATCAAAACTGAAACATGCATGCATATATTCACTTAAAAAATATTCGCTGCATGTTTCGAAATGATTGTTTAATATTCCAATTTGAATTATCATTTTAGTTTAAATTGCGCCACAAATAATTCAAACGGAAAAGTTATTTTAAAATTGTAAGAATGACAATGTATATAAGGGAAAAAAAGAAACAATAATGGTGTAAGGCCACATGTAGTTTCCTACGTAGATTTTGAATGATCCGATCTACATTTTCCAAAACAATGAAAAAACTACTTCAAAATTTTAAATTTATGGATCAAAACTCAAAAGTCAAAATGATTCTTGTCCAAAATATATACATCGGGCAACAACTAACGTACATTCTAGACCAACTAACCTGTATGTAGAATGACGGCCGCCACGGCCTTTCAAAGTCTAACAAAAAAATCTTGGCTACAGAAATCCCTCGCATTTAATAGAGTCTATTTCAGCTCGGACACAAGAGACCAACTTGAAGTGAAATCCCAAGAACTTAAGCTGCTTTACAATATCAACACGAGTACTGGCAGCAATTTTCCAAACTTAATTAGCCATTATAAGGGATGGAAACACCAAATTTTTTCATAAGTGGATAACGAGACGAAAAGATAATAACTGGATCACCGAATTGATCAATTCATCAGGTCAATGGATACAAGATCAAGAGCAGACGGCTGACTTAATCCAGGCTCACTTTACTCAAAATTTTCAACCACCACTTATCAAACTCAAGGATCTTTATGTACCTCCTCCTTCATGCATTAACTCCTACAATATGTCCAGGAGACTCTCACCTCTGATCAGACTAATCAACTGGATTAATCTTTCACTGCAACAGAAATGTGGGAAGTAATTAAACAAATGGCGCCTTGGAAGGCTCCAGGCCCTGATGGCATGCATGCTGATTTCTATAAAACTTACAGACATACCATAGGGTAAGATGTTGAGCACATCATTTTGAAAGCCATTAACCTTCAGGAATTCCTAATGGAATAGAATCAAACCCATATGGTGCTGATGCCTAAGGTACTTAATCCTACCTCGCCTGCTAATTTCAGACCAATAAGTCTGTGTATGTAAAGTACAAGATCATTACGAAAATATCACCAATAGGCTTAAGTCCATTATCTCACACCTTATTGATGAGCATCAAAACAGTTTTGTGCCGGGAAGAAACATTAGTGAGAATATTCTGATTACACATGAAGTAGAATGTATCAGAAAAAAAGAAGGTGATCTAGCGTTGGCTGCTATAAAACTGGACATGAGTAAAGCTTATGACAGGGTTTCCTGGACCTTCCTGGAAGCCGTACTCCAAAAAGTAGGTTTTCAACCAAATCTGATCAGGCTCATAATGCACTGTGTCTTAACTGTGTCTTACTCCATCTAATTCAATGATGAACGCCTTCCTTATTTCTTCTCAAAGAGAGGTCTCAAACCAAGATGTCCTCTGTCTCCATATTTGTTCATTTTATGCCAACAGGTCTTATCTTCTGCCATCAAAACAGGGAACCAAATTTTTCTAGGGCTGGGAATTAAGAAAAGTAGGAATGCGCCAAGGATAAGCCACTTAATATATGCTGATGATAGCATATTTTTCATTGAGTGCAAAGAAGAGTCCATCCAAGCTTTATCAGGGTTAATAGAGACTTAATGCAACCTTTTTTGGTCAGAAGATCAATCACCAGAAATCTTCAATAGTGGCAAGTACAAACACCTCCCCTGAAATAAAGCTTCTCCTTCACTCTACCACTGGCATTCCACCAGGAGATTTCAACAGCAAATATCTAGGCCTTCTGTTGATTTTAAAGAGAAGAAAAAATAATCTTCAGAGAATTTACTACCCGGCTTGAAAGAAAATTTGCTGACTGGAAGACAAAACTTCTGTCCTTTGCTGGCAGAGTAACTCTGGCAAAAACAACACTATTAGCTATGCTAGTGTATCCAATGGGGGGTTTTTAAACTTATGGCTACTACCTTACGGAAGGAAGAAAGCATTATAGGAAACTTCACCGGGAAATGGGACAACCAGGGCAAAAGAGTACATTGGAGGTATTGGAAAAAGATCAGCAAGTCCATATATCATGGTGGTTTGGGTTTTAAAGCATCTAAGGAATTCAGTGAGGCCCTGTTAGCTAAATATGCCTGGAAGATTCTGTCAAAACCTTTCTCATTACTGGCATCGTTGTATAGAGCAAAATACTGCTCCACAGATCCTTTTCCTCAACAAAGTCCACCCACCAATGCAACATGGGGATATAGAAGCATTCTTTAGGCTCCCAATTACTACCAGGCAATACTAAGTGGAAGATCATCTCAGACAGGAACACGCACATTGCCGAATACTGGATTTCCAATCACCCAAATCTAATCCAGA